TGGGTGTCCTCACTTTACGCCTTATGTAAGCTGGGTATGAAGGGCTAAAGCATTGAAAGATTATGAACTATTGTCTGCCAAGTTGACTTGAGGATAGTGAGAGTACTTACCTTTGTGGTCTGACCTGCATGTGACTGAGTGAGGCTATTACTTAGTCTGAGTTTCAGTTTGATGGGGTAGTGCTTTAGTCGCTCGCCACGTGCTAGAGCCATAGGAGTTAGATTCAATTCCTGCATTTTCTGAGCTAAGTTTTTTTACTTAGATCAATTCTCGCATTTTCTGGGATCTTTTGTTACACTTGGCTTTGTACAAATCTTGGCAAGCTACTTTCTCTACGGGGAGCGCTGCCGAAATTTCTACAAATCCAAGGAGTTAGTCAATTTTTGACTTGTCAAAGTTCAACTTGTCTTTTCTTTCTACCTGAATTAGTAAAAATCTGGAAAGTCTCCTTTTCTAAAGGGAGTGCTGCCCAATTTTTTGCTAATTCAGGGAGTTAGACAAAATTGGACTTTGAGAAGTCAAAGTTAGTTTCAAGTTCTGAACTTAGCTTTGTATAAATTTTGGACTAACACTTTTTCCAAGGGAGTGCTGCCGAAATTTCTACAAAACTAAGGAGTTGTTCAATTTTGTCTTGACAGAAACTTGAGTTGCTCTGAGTTCAAATCTGAGATAGTATAAATCTGTGAAGTCACACCGCCCGTCACACCATGGGAATTTCTTTTGCCCGAAATCGTCTCTATGATAAACCAAGTGCTGCCCAAATTTTTACTAATTCAGGGAGTTAGACAAAATTTGACTTTCTTGAGTTAGAGATTACTTCTGCTTTTATATTTGAGCTTATATAAATTCTGGGAAGACACTTTTTCTACGGGAAACGCTGCCAAAATTTTCTTAGTTTAAAGGAGTTAGATCATATTTTGACAGGTGGCAATTCTCGTAATCCACCCTGGATAAGGGAAATTATGTCACGAGTCTACCTTTATTTGGGCACTGGCTTAGAGGTAAACTTAGGCTTAGCTATTAGGAGAGGCTTTGAGAGAGATTGTGGTGTGAGGATTATTCTCCAGGCGCTTATGGTTTTAGCCTGGGGCGTTGACCTGTCTTGTGTTACAGGTCCTTTTGATCGTTTGACTCAGGATTTGGAATAGTTTCAACTTGATCCTACGAGAATCATTTTCTTTTATCACTGATAACAGGTCGGTTGGTTGATCGCCGACTTGTCGGCTCATGACACAACTTTACCTACGCCTTTACCTCAACTTGGCTGCCTTAGCCCTGTGAATTGTTATGTTTCTTTGAGGGTTTTAACCGAACTTATTTTAATAACCATTATAAAGAACTTATGAGATTTATGGAGGTTTTGACTAAGAACTTATGAGATTTATGGAGGTTTTGACTATGACTGGGCTCGAGTGTGTGAGGCATGGTGTGAGGTACAGAGAATAGTAAAGTTGCCCACATTGGTGTATGGCAATGTGGCTATTGTGTGTGTCTGTGTTTTATGCAGGTTAGTATTTTGGAGCTTGGTATATGGGCCATACTTCGAAGGGAGGTGACAACTCCCGTAAGGTGGAGGTAAGTCGTGCCTCGCGTAGGCCCTATCCTCTCGTAGGGGCTCGCGAGAGGTATGGCTGGCGCACTCGGCCGGAGCGGCTTGCGGAAGCTCCATGTATATTGCGACGAAGGATTTAAACCTACTCCTGCGTGACGCTATCGGGAGGGTCCCGCGCTGCCTCGTGCGGTGCCGGACCGATGCGCTCGACAAGTGGCGCCGTTGCCGGGGATAACGGTTGCCTACCGTTGTCCCTGGTGGAACGACATCCGGGTATGGAAGCGAGAAAATAGGCAACTGAGAAGTTTCGGTAGATTTGTATGAGTGATTGGTTAACATCTTTTATTATCGTTGGAAGTACCGTAAAGACTGAGAGGTCCCTAGAAATCGGGGGTTGATAATCCGCGGACAATGACCACTTCTGCTCTATTGACAGGGTTAGGAGGAATGGTTGATCGTATATGGTCTTGGAAAGAGCATGAAGTGAGGGTTAATTCCCGGAGTGGGGTTTGAGTGATGCAGTAAGGGTTGCTTGAGATCGATAAGCGCCTTGACTATGCGCTGTGAGCACTGCCTAGTATGCGATTAAATGGAGTTGAAAGGGTCTCTGACTTTAATGATTGATGAGTTTGGGTAATGCCTTGCAGGCTCGATTCGGCTAGGGATGAGTAAGGTGGAGGTAAGCCGTGCCTCGCGTAGGCCCTATCCGGTCGTAGGGGCTCGCGAGAGGTATGGCTGGCGCACTCGACCGGAGCGGCTTGCGGAAGCTCCATGTATATTGCGACGAAGGATTTAAACCTACTCCTACGTGACGCGGTCGGGAGGGTCCCGCGCTGCCTCGTGCGGTGCTGGACCGATGCGCTCGACATTGGACAAAAGTGACAGGGAGATATAGCTGACTGACTCTGACAAACTCTACGTCAGCAAGTACCGGGTGAAGGTGCACACCCATAAGGTAAGGGATAGGCCAGGGCTTCTCGCTCCAACTGGGTCGACGCTTCGATCAATGGTCTTGGTCAACGCTCCGGTCAACTCTGGTCAACGCCCAATCAATGCCCTTGGTCAACCATCAGTCAACATTGGTCAACACCCAGTCAACGATGGTCAAATCTTCTAGTCAACCCTCCAACCTTCCGGCTATGGGGGACCGTCTTCTTCTTTGTCACTCTTGTCGTCTTCTTCACCTTCGCTATGGCCGACTTTGTCTCTCTCTTCGTCAACTTCCTTCTTCTTCCTCCCTTCGTCCCTTCTTTTTTCTTCCTTGATGGTAGTCTTCTTCCTCGAGCTTGGCAGCTATTACTGCTCTCCCTTCTCTCTCTCTCTCTGTCGCTCTCTCTCTCTCTCTCTCCTGCCGTACTCTGGCTATGGTGGCTTTCTCCTTCTTCGCTTGCTGCAGCTCAACGTGGAGAACGGGTACCAGCTCCGATACCAATGCAATCAGACTCGACTTCAAACTTGCTTTCAGCATGCATACACGAGAACTGATGGAAAAACCAAACTCGTCAACTCAGAATCCACAAAGAACTTGCACTTATATTCTGATCAATATAATAGTACAACTTGCGACTATGTGCGCCGAACACTGTCTTAACCACCAGCCTCACTCTCCCTCATGAACGCACGTACGAGGATCACCCTGAATGTCCACGCTACACAGACACACACCCTTTGTACACTCTGTCTGAGAGCTGGGCGGCTATGGCCGCCAACGTCTTCCTCCTCCTAGCTATGGCCGCCAACGTCCTCCTCGCTGGTTCGCTATGGCCGCTGTCTTCTTCACAGCCCACTTCCTCTCCGGGCACCTGCAGACCTCCACGCACAAGATACCAATACCAAGGCAGCTCTTCCGCATGGCTCACAGGCGAATGAATGAATGGCTGGATGCTGCCTCTTTATTTATACGTCTTTGGAGGTACCCGGGCCTGCCTCAAAACGTGTGGGCCTAGGCCAAAACGTGTGGCCCAGGGAAGTTTCCAGATGTTTGGCCTTCTAGGCCAAAACGTGTGAAACCCACAGTGTGTCCCAAAACCTTCCCCACGTGCAGCCCCTACCCCTGGTACGTGCTGACTGGACTGGCCTACAGGGACCTACGACCTTCTAGAGCCTACAGACTTACAGACAGACTCTAGGCCTCAGTAGACTCAGATAGAGACTTCTAGAACAAACCTTCATAAGCCTAACCGTAACAGACCTAACTCCTAATCTACAGACCTAGGGATCTGGTCTCACACAGGTCGTTGGGCCTATGTACAGGGTACAGAGTAGGTCTAGGGATCGAATCTCACTCAGCACACCGGGTCAATGTACAAGGTATAGGGTAGGTCTAGGGATCGAATCTCACTCAGCACATCGGGTCAATGCACAGGGTTTGGGCACAGTGAGTAGTAGCTCACACCCTAGCATGATTACACCCTAAGTGAAAAAGAAAAGAATGATGCCTAAGTGGATGTGTGGCCCGATCCAATCCTAAAATCTCTCTCTCTCTCTCTCTCTCTCTCTCTCTCTCTCTCTCTCTCTCTCTCTCTCTCTCTCTCTCTCTCTCTCATCTC